CGTTAAGAGCTGCACGAGCTTGATCTATGTTTGGCTTGTTAGCTGACAGCATCTCGAGTCTGAATCGTTATGATAAACCTGGCAAGCACAGCATAAGAACTAGCAATGACCCAATAACAACAAGAAAACGACATATGAATTGAAAAGAAACTGAGTTCGAGGAAAATGTTTCGACTCACTTGCTTTCTCGATTGCTCAAGGATCGTTCGAGACTTGTAAGAGCTTCTCTCTTGGTTCTCCATTCAGTCTGGTATGGTAATATTGTACAAGTATTAAATTGGAACACTGTGTTTACAAGGTTGGTGCATACGTTTTGCAAAACGACTCTTCTGGAATGTTTCAAAAACGAAGAGAAATGGAAGCGAGAGGTCTACACCATCTATGCAAATCTACCAGTCGATGTCAACGTTTATGGAGCTGGTCGACTACTTTTTCAAGGACAGCGGTGAGACGTGTAACAGCAGCCGTGAGCATCTCTGATCTCAATCTCCGCCTCGAGCTTTTCCTTCATTGATAAATAGTTGACTTGGTGAAACACCAGCAATCCGGTGGTACGAGCTCGATGCGTTGAGCTGCAAAAACGAAGGCCCAAAACGCATTCAATGGGCAGGTGCCGATCAGCGACAACAACTCATGAGCCCTCAGATCCCCCTTACCCTTGATTATGCTCCCTCTGACTACTGGATCTTCCGTGACCTCCAGCAGTTTTTGAGCGAAGAAGATAATGAGGACAGGTGGGCACGCAACGATTGCTTCGGATCCCAGGTTTTATTCTGAGAGAAGGGGAGACTCGTTTTTGAAACATTCACAAAGTGAGCCATATTGAAAAACTTGTGCCGCAACATAATACATGGCTGTGAATTCAGAAATATCAGGTACATGGATCACATAAAGACGATTCAAGATGTTACCTGCTTTGCTTTCAAAGCTTCTTTTTCCTTCTGAATACTGGCCCTTTTGTGACCCACTTGGCTTCGCCGATCACTCAACTCTTTTTCCTGAAAAAATTGCAGCTGAGTAAGACTGCGGATTGGGACAAATAAAATTATTGCATAAAAAGAGGTATCAGAATATTACAGATTTTTTGCTCTTTGCGGTTTAGAACGAGAGACAATCTAAGCAGAAGGCTACAGGGAGGCCCAAAACCAAACTGCGTATGAGGAGAGCAATTGCGGGGCTGCACAAAAGGAAATTGCTCGAATGCACAAAGAAAAGAGTAATCAAAGGCAGTGATCTTGATTACTGGCAGGCGATGAGGTTTTGCTAACGTCGTAGAACGTCATTTGTTGATTGGCCCCTCAAGGCGTTAGGGTTGTGGTGGGGATCACCTTACCGCCCTTCCACCACAGTCGTTCAAGGACGTCAACAAAATTACAACGCCCTCCAGCTATCCTGATGACTGCCTTCAAGATAAAAATAGTGGAGAAAGAACGACAAAACAAAAACATCTTCAACGATGCATGACAAGGAATAATTTGTGCAAGAGTGATT